AAAATATATACCAAGCTAATTGCAATAAAAAGCGAACAGGAGTGGCAGTACTAATCTCTGATAAAATAAACTTTAAGGACGAAAAAAGACACCTGAACTCTCCTGGGGCCCAGCCTGTAACTGTATGGCCAGCCATTTGTTAGTATACTGTCCTTCAGAGTTCAGCCCAGATTACTACCACTAGTGCAAAACTGCTTCCACCGCACGTCTCCCTAGCAGTGTGATTGTTTGCAACGACAACAAAAATGCTCTGTTGATGAGCAGATTCTTTGCTTGGATGTTTATGAATTAAGAATTGGTATCACCATGCACACACCAGTGAGGAGAAAGTTTAAGCCTACCCATCCTAAATATGTCAAAAGCTTGCTTGAACATATGATCATTCACAGTTGGTCTTTTAAAAATGACCGCATGTTGTCTCACAGCGTAACCTGCATAACAGGATAGATCGGTCCCAAGTCAAGAATCTCTTACCCTCTCATACGTGTCACCGAATCTCTGCCTTTGATTCAAATCCATAGTTCCCATAAAATACTGAAAATGATTCCGTTGCAAATCTGTGAGCCCAACTAAGTCAACGTTTTCATGCAGAAGTCCTTTGTCATGGCATAAGCAGCTCCTCTCACATTTTCATGTGTGTTCCAATTACCTGAACTTATTGAAATGCAGAATCTGATTCAGTGGACTTGAGGTGGAGCGTGAGAGTCTGATTTCATGCTGCGGGACCACAGACACTTAGGGTACCTCTGGCATAAAGTAGACTTCATCCATTGTGTAGCTGTTTAATGCAAACAGAGTTAGCCTACTCAACAAAGCACAGGTATATCCACAAGTACCTGCTTTTTCATTTTTATTTTTTATAATGTCCTTTTTGGGGAGTTTGTTTCAAATGACACAGATAGTAATACCTATTAGTTAGATAGATAGATATAGCAATTAATCCAAAAAACATAAATGTTTACAGAGGCAAAAGTCTTTCCTTCACATCTCACATTATAAATAATATATTTATTGAAGTGAGAGACAGGCTGTATTTGTTTGCAAGTATAATACATATCCATTGTAGAAAAATTGGAACATAACAGAAAATTCATGTTTCCTTCTTGCCTGTTTTCCTATACATAAATACATCCCCTGACCCAACTCCAGGAGACAAGATTAAAATCCTAATAATGTGTTTTGGTTTGATTTCACGACCACTCGTGTTGGTTTTACTGTGATGCTGGAATCTATCTATGCCTCTGGTATTTTAACTACCAGCACGGTCAGTCAGAGTGGTCAGGTTTCAGCACAGTTTCCAGATTAAGACAGACAGGGAAGGAAGGAGAGCCACTTCTGAAAGATTAGCCACTGGAAAGCTTATGAACAGCAGTGGAAGGAACACTGTCATATATAGTGCTGGAAACTGAGCCCCTGGGGTCGGAAGACCTAGAGAAGAGCTGTCTTCTCTAAGGAGAGTTGCCCTTATTCACATGGATGGAGCAAAGCTTTTGGACTTTGATTTACTGATGGGATAGAACTCAATATGAAAAGAAACTATGAAACTCCATTAAAAATCAGCATGGAATGTGTGAAGTATGAACCTATGAAAATG